CAATCTATAATAGGGTATCCAAAGTACGATTTTGTGCCTGTTTTGACGTAAAAAAGGGGGTTAAATTTCACAAAAGTCCTGAAATTGACCGCAAAAGGGGGTTATATGCATTGGTGGTAACGGTCATATTGTCACTCTTTGCAGGGGAGTGACCCCACCGGGAAAACAGCTTGGGTTTTTTCCTTCGATATGTGGGTGGTGGTTGCAATCTGTGTTGACAAAGAGTGGATCATGGGCAGGACGGCAGCCACAACAGCCTTCACGATATCGCCGACCAGCTCCTTGCTGGAATCACGAGTATTAGCGGCAGTACCCCTTCCACGTGGACGATCAGGAATGAGTGCCATTGCACTAGCTACCACATCTTCGATTTTGGAGGTGATATCAACATCATCTTCTACGGGGAGAGCCTGAAACTTGTTGCTACCTTTGCCATTGCTCTAAACAATCTTTCAATGTTCTTTCAATAATATCAAGTCAACTAACTCACCTAACACAAAAACGGGTATGTGCATGGGGCAGTATAAACAGGACATGTGTTCCAAGTGTGCTCACGTGCCAAAGTTCACATTCAAATAAAAATAGAAACACAGCATACATGGGTGGCAGATTCATCCAAAACAGAGCCTAGGCGACACATTGAAGTATGACTATATGAAATATTCAGCAAAATCAAGCAAATTGTGTCATATAGAGATGAAATCCAACAGCAAGATAGTGCAGTCCCAAGCCATACCAGCCAATATAACAGATAACAGGAGAACGTGGAATGAGGAGATGATGAAATTTTATCCACTATTTTCCTACAGGGAAAAAAAAGAAATCCCAACTGGAGCGACAGTGAGGTGCTAGGACTCTGCACCTTTGTGTCAGAGCCCCGCCCCCCCCCCCACTCAGTGTTATTTAGGGTACGCATATGCTCGTTCCCTCTTTTTGAAAGCACCCCCTATCTGAGGACTGCCAACATTTCCGAACCCCCCTTTCGCGGGCTTTTCGCGGGCTTTTCCTGCCTTGGAGACCCCCCTAAATCATGAAAAATGGTCAATGTACCCCCCTTAATTCGGAATAATTTCTTAGGAGTGCAAAGAGATGAGAGAGGAAAGAAAAAAAACACCCCCTTAATACACCCCTTTTTTTACAATTCTCGGGCCGGACTTTGTCGCACGAAAAGTACCCCTTTACCGGACATTATGCCAACACGCATGCGGTCATTTCGAACCCTGAGTGGGGGGGGGGGGGGGGGGGGCGGGGTCAGAGCACCATTCCAGCCTGTTTGGAAACACAGGCCACTGCACACAAACAGTAAGTATCGTACATTTTACCATAGATACTTGCAGAGTAAATGCAAGAAATTAGATATTTGATGTGTGTGAAATTGCAAACTTATATTCTAGCTTTTTCTTGTATCTTTTTTTTAATACAGCAAAATTTAATATCTCTTTAGTTTGCCTCAGATACCCATATCAATTTTGGGGGCCCCTTTTCAAGCTTGCTTGCAATAACACTCTTTAATTTGTATTGCTTTGAACTCTATGCAAAATTGGGGGCTCTTTTAAGACTTTCGGGGGCTCTTTTGGGCATTTCTGGGGCTAATTCGCTCCGAGCCCCCGTGTATTTTTTCCCCTGAAGAGAAGGAAGAGCTTTGAGAAAATTTCATGACTTGAAAAGATCATATTTTATTATGTTGGAATTAATTGCTATTAATTTAAAAGTACTTTGTGAAATAGGTCTTAATTTCAAGATACTTGTGATGCAGCAGTGGCTAGTGTCGTTCTAATGCACTGGTCTGGAATTTGACATTATGTCCTTTTTTAAAATTTAAATGTTGATAATGTTATTTTTAATCTGTAGAGAACTGATGTTTTTTATGAATTGTGTTTATAATTCCTTTCCCACTGCAGTGAAATGTGATAGAATCACTGTGATATTTATGTTCTATCTGGTGCAGGTTGAAGAGCGAAAACGTAAGACGTGGGAGCAGTGCGCCCGGCTGCTAGAAGCTAAGGGAGAGAAGGTGGGAGGATATCAAGCGGAAGTGGACTGACTTGAAGGTGAGGGCCAACAAATACCTCACCAAGAAGAGCAAGACAGGTAAATATTCCTAATTCTTTACAATATATAAACAAAACATAACAGAGGAAGGAAGTAGCAATGTTGAATATGTGCATTATATTTTGCAATTTATTCCATATAAATTTATCTTACATTATTCTCATTTGTAGCCAGAATTGAATGGTTACATATAGCAGATAGAAAAAACATTGATCTGTCTTTATCTCTTTCTACTTACCCCCCCCTCCCCCAATAGAGTATTATATCAATTGTTTGTTTTCAAAACTATATCAGGTTTTACAAATGTACATGTATGAATCAAATACTGAAGAAGAAAACATTTATATTTTGTATACAATTTTTTTTAATGAAGCATGTTTCACACATTTCTCATTTAGACATGTGAACCAGTATAAAATAATTAGCTAACAAGTGTTTTATTTATCATCATTTTCTCACTGACTACATAGGTGGCGGGCCCTTCTCCGTACATCCTACGTTCGAGGCAGTCCTGCAGGCACAGTGTCCACAAGCAATCGTGGGCGTGTTGGGAAGTAACACAGAAGCAGGCCTGCTTTCATCCCAGGTGAATTGAAGCTTTATTTTTAAAATACAGTTAGATTCACCAAACTGCCTCCCCCCACCCATACATCATTGATGTGTTGAATAATTTACACCAACAGAGAGAATGAATTATAAATAATTTTACTCCTATATGAAAATTAAAATCCTGTACATGTTCGTCCTAAATAACAAGAACCAATACGCCCTTTTTTAGAGATTCATGATGAAGAAGTCAATTTAACCAATTCTTTTCCCCTATAAAACAGCAATAAATATGCCCATAGAAAGAGTCACATGGCACAATTTTGAGCAATGTTAAGTCATTATTTTGTAGGTCTATAATGGCATCTTCTTTTACTGTGTGCAAGTAAATGGTGACAGACATCTTAAGCAATTTAATTTAGTTGACAGAACTATAATATTGTCTCTTAAGCCATAGTTATTTTCAAACTGATGCAAGAGTTGTGAGTTCACAGTGAAATTTTGAGCCCACTCTGGGAATACAATTATACGCTCTGTTTTGCAGAAAATGCCTGGACGTTTCATCTTCAGCTATGACTTTTGCAACTTTTCCTGAAAAAAAAATCACCATAATTGCTTAAAGGGACTTTGTAACATTGTTCAGATGAGCGATAGTGGTGCTAAGGTAGTGACCTCAATGCTAGATGTACAATTAAAGATAATCTGAAAATTTGAGTGAAAACGGATCATTATTCATGGTACAAATTGGGAAAAACTGATCTGATCGATTCCTTAATTTTTCTAACTATATTATTCTACTTCTATTCTGCTACTTGTCAAAGCCTGTTCAGCATCAAGACAATTTAATTACATTTTAGGTGAATGTAAATCGTACAAAGCAATAAAATGGCTCTACATTCCATTCCAGAGAGTTAAGTGTTGACAGATTTGTATAGCCTGTTTTATGTATTTTTGTCATGGAAAAACGGTTGGGAAAATTCAAAAATGGTTGGGAGAATTTACTGTTAATCACTGTTAGAGGGTGCCTCACATCGACGCCTTCAAAGAAAACCATAGATATCTTTGTGGTTTGAGAATTTGCTCAGGATTTTTTTGCATGTCAGAGGGTTAGTATAGTAGAAGGAATATAGTAAGTAACATTTTATACAAAAATTAAGCTATTTTTTCATCAACCTTCAACAATGTTACCGAGTCACTTTAAAAGCTGTTTTTGATAATTATCAGGTCAAAAAGCATCATGGAGGTTCATGGTATAAATTACATTCACTTTCAAAATTATATTATTGCTTTTGTTTTGTTTTGTTTTGTTTTGTTTTGTTGTTGTTGTTGTGTGTTTTTTTTGTTTTGTTTGGGGGGGGGGGGTACAGGAAACAGATGATGATGCAGCGACGAACATATTGGCAGTGATGTCGGGCACTCCAGCCGCCATCTTCACAGCAGCCACAAACATGACAGCATCCACATCGAAGACTACATCTACCAACATAACGGCAGCAACCAACAAGACAGCAACCAACAAGAAGACAGCTACCAACATGAGACAGAAAAGATTTTCTTCATTTGAGGAGGAGTGTCTTAGAATAAAAAAAGAAAGACTGGAGGTCTCGGGCCCCCACTCCGAGAACGGACGGACCCCATGCGTGTTACCAACATGTCCGGTAAAGGGGTACTTTTCGTGCGACAAAGTCCGGCCCGAGAACTATAAAAAAAAATGGGGTGTATTAACTTTTCATCCGGAGATTTCTTTAAAAAGGTTTTTTTTTTCTTTCTCTCATCTCTTTGGACTCCTGAGAAATTATTCCGAATTTAGGGGGGTACAGTGAGCATTTTTCATGATTTAGGGGGTTCTCCAAGGCAGGAAAACCCTGCGAAAGGGGGGTTCAGAAATGTTGGCAGTCCTCAGATAGGGGGTGCTTTCAAAAAGAGGGAACAGGCATATGCGTACCCTAAATAACACTGAGTGGGGGCCGGGCTGGGGGTAGACAAAAATGCCTCTTGTTACGAGAGAGGGAGGTATGCGCAGTCGAAAAAATACAGAATATCCTTGAAAAAAAGTTTGAAAATGAGTGTTAAAGAAATAAAAGAAATCAAAAACATTCAATTTTCTTTCATATTTTCTCCCGTAGCATGTGTGGGCACTTATCTAAAAATATAACATCATAAAGAATTATACAGAGGCAAATTCACTTTTTAATTTTTGTGTGCTGAAAGTATTTAGTAAAGTGTCAAATTGCAGGTTTTAGGATTATACAATTTTACTTTTTTTCACAAATTAGAACTCATATTATACAATGTAAGGCTGCTAATTGAAATAGTTTGTTGGCAGTTGGGACTCCAGCTCTTAAAACTCCTTTGTATACAAAATTCTTTAGACCACCATCTCATTGCAAGGCTAGACAAAATTAGGTCTTGAAGGTTCTAACAATTTCTGCACGCGCAGCTATGCCTGTGGGGTCCATCTCCCTGTTTACGTCATGTCCATTGTCGGCGCATCTCTCCTCCTCCCTCTGCCTCTCACCATCATCATTATCGCTATCCTCGCCAGTTGCAGCTTCCTTTTGCAGATCTTTGCTGATGTTAAAAAGCACGCAGCAAGCCGTGATGATAGGACATGCACGCTGTGGCTGAATTTGCATGCCATGTCCCAAGAGACACCTAAACTTGTTCTTGATTTGCCCGTTAACGTCTTCAATAATGACACGGGTCTTCCTGTGTGCTCTGAAAGTTAAACAAATGAAAACACAAAATTTCAGGGCCATGATTAGTAATAACATATCATATGAGCGCCCTACCCATTTTCTTAGTTCTAAGACATTATAAATTTTTATTTCTTTTCAGGAAGAAAACATTTCATCATCCAAAGTGAAGAAAACAAAGTTTTTATGGAATCTATGTAGATGTACAGAGCACATGGAAGGGACGACACAGATTTGGCAATTTGTGTTTGATTAATCACAACTTCAGAAATATGTACCTTTCTTATTTTTTAATCGGAAATTGCTTAAACTCTCACTGACCGGTGCTTTTCATTTTTCTGTTTCTTTTACAACCAACTTACTATCTTCCCTAAATTTAGATAAAAAAAATAGCCATTTTCTCATGTTAACTTAATAACTATTTATTAAGTATTAAAGGATCACAAATGAAACAAAATGCTTGATTTGTGTGAGATATACTGTCAACCTCGCTCAAGTCGAAGCCGCAGGTGTCGAGTAATCACACAACTTTATCAAATACCCAGAACATATCCGAAAAAAAAGCATTGAATTGAAATGGCCCAAGTTGAGGAACGCCTGAAGTTGACGCATTTCATTCAGTCTCCTCATGATCGACTTAAGCAAAGTTGACTTTACTTCAGACATGGTGAGCCACTTAAAGTGACTCGGTAACATTGTTGAAGGTTGATGAAAAAAATTGCTTAATTTTTGTATAAAATGTTACTTACTATATTCCTTTTACTATACTAACCCTCTGACATGCAAAAAATCCTGAACAAATTCTCAAACCACAAAGATATCTATAGTTTCCTTTGAAGGCGTCGATGTGAGGCACCCTCTTACAGTGATTAACAGTAAATTCTCCCAACCATTTTTGAATTTTCCCAACCGTTTTTCCATGACAAAAATACATAAAACAGGCTATACAAATCTGTCAACACTTAACTCTCTGGAATGGAATGTAGAGCCATTTTATTGCTTTGTGACGATTTACATTCACCTAAAATGTAATTAAATTGTCCTTGTCTTGATGTTGAACAGGCTTTGACAAGTAGCAGAAAAGAAGTAGAATAATATAGTTGGGAGAATTAAGGAATCGATCAGATCAGTTTTTCCCAATTTGTACCATGAATAAGGATCCGTTTTCACTCAAATTTTCAGATTATCTTTAATTGTACATCTAGCATTGAAGTCACTACCTTAGCACCACTATCTCATCTGAACAATGTTACAAAGTCCCTTTAAGGCATTAAAAAAAAAAAAATTATTGCTTAATTGAATTTCCTATTGACTTTTAGGGAAATGAAAAACGTGAGAATTCAATTCATCTTACGTGTTGTAAGCATTCTCTGCAGGAGTCTTGGGATTCAGTATCGGGTTCATGAGCCATGGGAGAAGGGGATATCCTGAATCGTCCAGTAATATTCCGTGAAGCATGCCTCCTTCAAATTTGGCTGCTAGCCTGCTGTTCTGTAATGTAATGATAGAGAGCACAAAAAAGTTAATGGATAGAAATATAATTTAATCAGTACTGAAATATTTCCTGAAGTTATTTATATATTAATAATATATACTAATTTATTCATTCATTCTATATTCCATGTCTTATATGGATAATTTTTGTACATTAATTATAAAAAACTAACGTATTATATTGTAATTGATTCCTTCATTATTATGAAAAACACTTGTGAATCTGCCAACAATTGCAATGTATAATGATAACTAAACAATCACATATATTAAAAGTACCTGCAAGATCCGGCTGTCGTGTGTCGAACCTGGCCAACGAGCGACGACATTGGTTATTTTGTAGTGGGAATCACACACGAGTTGTACATTGATGGAATAATGTTGATGCCGGCAGGTGCGGATCCAGGATTTCTTAGGGGGGGGGGGGGGGAGGGCCCAAATTTGAAATTATGCGAGCCAAATATTGGTACGTAATGGTGACCAGCAGTGACGTAATGCAGGGGGATGTAGGGAGGGGCGAGTTCCCCCCTCCCTCTGCAAAGCGCGGAAGATATATATATGACGGTCATTAAAGTATTAGAGAAAGAAGACAATTCGTTGTACCGTTCTCGACTCTTATTCCTTCTCTTAATTCAGCCCCCCTCCGCGCAGCGCGGAAGCTTTGACGTTTCATTAAACTATTATTGAAAGAAGACGATTCGTTATAGCGTTCTCGAAAATTATTCTCGTTTGAATGCAATTTTCCCCTCCCGCGCGAAGCGCGGAAACTTTTACGTTTCATTAAATCATTGACGAAAGAAAACGATTCGTTGTACCGTTCTCGACTCTTAATCCTTGTCTTAATTCAGCCCCCCCCCCCCCCCCCCGTCTCGCGCGAAGCGCGGAAGCTTTTACGTTTCATTAAATCATTAGAGAAAAAAAACGATTCGTTGTATCGTTCTCGACTCTTAATCCTTGCCTTAATTCAGTCTCCCCCCTCCGCGAAGCTCGGAAGCTTTGACGTTTCATTAAATTATTAGAGATAGAAGACGATTCGTTGTACCGTTCTCTATACTCTTAATTCTTGTCTGAATTTCAAAGATGTTTTTTGTCTGCTCCTTTTCTCCCTACGTCCTCTTCCTTTCCTCTCCTCTCTATTTTTTTTCTATCCCCCCCCCCTGGCTACGCGCCTGCGGTCAGATAAACAAATTTTGATACCTTGTCCGACCCGAGAAGCTCGGGGGTTTTAGGCATTTGATTACGGTCAGATGAACATATTTTCATACCTTATTTGTGACACTGGCAGGACACTAATTGGCGTGAGGTCCAGCGGGCAAAGCCCCCAGAAAACAGGGGTTTTAGGCATTACATTTCCGTCAGATTAGCATCCAGGGGAGTCTAGGGCCCTAGGCGGGGTGCAAGGGACGGAACCCCGGAAGCTCAGGGGTTTTTAGGCGTTTAATTTCGGCCAGATGAGCAGCTAGTTAATTATTCTTTCTTTCTTGCTCTCTTTATTTCTATTTCTCTTTACTATACCTTTTAACAAAAATTGGAGGTGGGGGGGGGGGGGGGGAGCTCGAGGCTTGCGATTCCAGCCGATCCCCGGGCCCTAACTTTTCTCAAGAATCATATTTCTTGTCTGGCTGTAAATTTAGGAATTTGTCATTATCCAACAAACGCATACAAAAGTATAATTTACTAAAAACTGAGGAAAAATCTCGGAATGAATTAAGCATTATTTGTAAGCCACCGTTATGGAATTAGAAAATAAACCACGTTTCAATTTGAATTCCCCCAAGCCCCCCCTATCAGTACGCCAGTGCCCCCTTTTCTTCTTTCTCTTTTTTCTTCCTTCCCTTTCTCTCCTCCTTAAGGTTTGCCGAGGGGGGGGGGGGGGGCAAGGGCCTTTCGGCCCCCACCCCGATCCACACGTTGTTGGCGGGATTAACCGGAACTGATCTCCCGTTCTTTTACCCTTTTCTTTTCTTCTTCCTCTTTTTTGTTCCCTTTTAGCTCTCCTCTTTCCCTTTTCCTTCTTTCTCTCTTTGATATAGCGGGGTCGGGGGGAGGTAAGGGCCTTTTGTCCCTCCTCGATCCACCGGCGGGAAAATTGCAAATGATATCCCCTTTCTTTTCTTTTCTTCTTTTTCCTTCCCTTTATCTCATCTTACCCTTACCCTTTCCTTCCTTCTCTCTTATTTTTTTTATTGGAGGGGGGGGGGGGGGGTGCAACAGCCTGGGAGGCAAGGCCCTTTCGCCCCCCCCGATCTCCTTCTTCACCCGTTTCTTTTCTTCTTCCTCTTTCTTCTGGCGCTACACCTCTTACAAAAACAAAATGCAAAAATATCCAAAAAGAGAGGACTGCGATGGGGAACTTTGATTTAAGCTACGCGACCATTATTCTCTCATTTCCTTTCACATTGTATCTCAAGACCATGATAATTGCCAAGCTATGGTATACGTTATTTCGTTACACGAACACACACAAACACACGCGCACACACACCCGCACACACTTTTTTTTTCAACAATTTTGTTTTATTTCTCCAGATGTGTAATACAAACCATGACATACAATTGAATAAAATAAACGTGTTCAATATTGATGCTTTTACATAAACATAATTAAACACAAACTTATTTGCAGTATAATATAACTTAGCAACAAAGTAAACGTATAAGTACCTAAACATAATATGTCAATTGTAAATGTTATTTACTTATATATTACAAAAAAAAAACTTAAACAAATCTGGAGGTAATTTTACTGAAACAATCCTGCCCCCTCCCTGCCCCCTCTATCACACAAACATACTCACCCTCTATCACACAAACATACTCACCCACCCACACACATACTCACCCCCCCCCACACACACACAGTACTCACTCAGTGGATGTCTGCCAACATTCTCAACTCAAGAAAAATATACTAAATAAGTTATCCAGGCCGCAAAATCGAGTTACGCTTTTAACAGGCTCACGGTGGAGAAGAAAGCAAATCTTAATTAATCTTAACACACACACACACACACACACCCGCACGCACACACACACACACGCACACACACACACACACACACACACACACAAGATCATAACCTGCACGAGTCTACAAGGTGTGAGAAAACTCTGATTCAGGAAAGAATACAAGGGTGAAAGTAAAAGCGAAAAAAGTGGACACTCTCACATGGCTTCCATGGATGCCGTCTTTGTTCTCTTTTTGCCTTCTTCTTACTCCTTGACCGTTCACGCATATTTTTTTTACAAAACTGTTTAGCCATATATAGTACATGTGCAAGCACGTATACCCAGGGAAGAGAAGGTAATAGAAAAGGGAAAACAAAAAAAAAATACATAAGGAGAGTGCAGAGGACATGGAGAAAGAAAGACAAAGAAATACATAACGGAAGGGCTTTTAGGCACCAAATTACGCATCTAGGGACCCGCCTTAGGCCCCTTGGTTGAGTCCAGAGGGCAGAGCCCCCGAAAGCTCAAGGACTTTAGGCATTTAATTACGGCCAGATGAGCAAACAGGGGCCCGCCTTAGGGCCCTTGGTGGGTTCCAGGGGGTAGAGCCCCCGGGAGCTCATGGAAAAATACTGCCATTTTAGCAATACTTGTAAATCACTGGTATCAAATTAAAAATAACCCATGTTTAAATTGTATTGGGGGGGGGGGGGTTAATGCCCCCCCCCCCATCAGTACGCCAGTGAAAGAGGCGGAGGTGACGGAAGGGACTACCCCCATAAAGCTGTATGATAAGTCTTATATGTAAACCCCTCACAGGTTTTTGAAGTTTTGTTGTGTTACAAAATTACATTCTTTAGCAAAACTACAGCATAAAAACAAGCAATATACTTTTTCACGCTTCACTTTTACTTTGCCGATATCTAGTGTGCAGTCCGAAGGGTTGTAAATATTTACTAGGTAAATTTTAGTTTGACTGAGCAGGAAGGGACTTCTTAAAAGAGCAAGCTGAATATTCATTTTTGGAACACTGATCTATTTCTATAACGTTTAATCTTGTTAACATACAGTGTATTTTGTACATACGTGATACCAACAGAATACATATTTTCTTCAATATTTACTTGTATATTTTTAGGATATTATGCGAAGGAGCTTAGCGACCGAGCGAGAAGATTTTAGCATATCTATTAGTCTAAACGCTGTACTCTTGGGCCCACCAGAGCCTTAAAGCGTGTTGCAGTCTTTAGTCAGTATTTGCTATACATTTTGTTGGTGTGCACTTTTTCAAATTATCCATGGGGGACGATCCCCCTCAGAAAATTGAGGAAAGACGTGTACCCCGTCCTTCCACCTATTTTGTGTTTTGCTCAAAAAACTATCCACAAGAAAGGACTATGTATGCCCCTTTTGTGAAGCGACCTATCAATATTAATGTTCACATATCAGTCCCTTTTTGGATTGCCCTCCTCCCGTCCCCCCCCCCCCCAAGAAAAAAATTATCACACTGTTACATGTGTGCACAATATATATTGATGTGTCAACCTTACGAAAATGGTGTTTTCATAATGATTATTGACCTCCTTTAAATTTATATTTATATGGAAGACTTAAGAAGACAACTGTTTACAGTCCAGCTAAGGGTGTAGAGCATGCCGTGTAGACTAAAATGTGCAATGTTGTTCAATTTCTGAATTCTTTGTTTAAAAAACTTGCTTGCTGTCAATAGTGTATACATTTTTTATACGTTTCAAATGTCTAGTCCGGTTAAAAATAGCACGTAATGATTTCATTATTTGACACGTACTTCACATTGATTTATCTTATCGATTAGCGAAACGATTTGCTTTAGTATCATATAACAAATATAACAGTAATGACAAGTATGGTTTTCCTGAAAATTGCATTATACAATGTATATTCATCGTTATGGAAAATGTTGTATAATATACAACAATGGGCATTAACATTTTCCAGACCATTAATTTAATTACGTTTAATATTGAAGCTGTTGCCCTTTGTATATACATGAACTTGAGAAAATAAGTAGCCTTGAAAGTGTCGCAATAAATCATGTGTGAGTGAGCTTGAAGTTTAATGGTGTAGGTTTGTTTGAAACTGTATAGCCTTTACTCTGTTTTTAATGAGATATATCTCCAATCAAATCAAATCAAACTGAGTGATTTTATCGTACAACTAAACAATATCAATCTTCTGTTCTCCTAAATAAGCCTGGGAAACTTGAAAATTGCATTACAATGTGAATTCATTGTCAGTGAAAATGTAATACAATACACAACAATGGGCAAATAATTGTTTCCAGACCAATGATTTAAGTAAGAAGAACTTACATTTTATATTGAAACTGTTGCGTTGTATATACATCAGGCGCGGATCCAGGATTTCTTGGGGGGGGGGGGGGGGAAATTTGAAATTATGCGAGCCAAATATTGGTTCGTAATGGTGACCAGCAGTGACGTAATTGGGGGTGGGTGGGTGCAGGGACGGAGGGGCGAGTTTCCCCCTCCCTCCTCCGCGAAACGCGGAAGCTTTGACATTTCAATAAATTATTAGAGAAAGAAGACGATTTGTTGTACCGTTCCCAAAAAATAATCCTCATCTGAATTGAGTTTTCCCCCTCCCGCGCTAAGCGGAAGCTTACGTTTCATTAAATCATTATAGAAAGAAGACGATTTGTTGTGTCGTTATCCCTTTTTTTCTTTTCTTCTTCCTCTTTTTTCCTTTCTTGTATCTCCTCTTTTCCTTTTTTCTTTCCCTTTCCTTCCTTCTCTTTTATTTTTTGATTGGGGGGGGGGGGGGGACAGCCTGGGAGGCAAGTCCTTTTGCCCCCCCCCCGATCTACTTCTGCCCTCTTTTCTTTTCTTCTTCCTCTTCTTTTTTCCCTTTCTCTCCTCTTTACCTTTTCCTTCTTTCCTTCTCTCTCTCTCCTTTTTTTTTTTTTTGTTTTGTTGCGGGGGGGGGGGGGGAGGGGGCCAAGGCCCGCTCGGTCCCCCCTCTGGATCCGCGCCTGGATGCCGGTTTTGGTATTCGTGTTCACCAAGTTTCGTACCATGCAAGCCAACATGCGTACAGTCAATGACACCCGATATTCGTGGAAAACCAGCAGTTTGGTGGAAATCGGCCATATTTCTTTGCACTTCCTCGTCTTCTTTTGGGAACTTGATGACCTTTAGGGAAAGAAAAATAATTGTTCTTAATATAAATTTAAATGTTTAACGAAACGATGAATCTCACTTTATAATTCATGTATATCTGTGTTTGTATACTGTGCATGTATATATTTATGATTAATATAAGATGATATACTGAGTATTATTTTGTGTACTCTCTAAATTTGAAAGTCTTATTTTAAATCTTAAAGTCTTACTTTTAAATCTAACAGAGACTGATATTAGTGACGAACCCTTTGGGATTTAAAATAAGTCTAAGCTAAGACTTGAAATTTTAAGTCCCTGAAAAGGTTTAAAATTTAAGTCAATTGGATTTATATTTCAAGTCTTTTAATATTTATTTAAACCTTTCTTGGATTCATTTCAAAAATAAATCTATGCTAAGACTTAAAATTTTAAGTCCCTGAAAGATTTAAAGTTTAAGTCAATTGTATTTATATTTCAAGTCTTTTAGATTTACTGGTCTAGCTAAGCCATTAGAACCATTTGGTAAAACTTCCAACCAATTGAACGGCAACAACACTTCAATACTGGTACGTCTGTATTATCAATGTAAAGGCATCGGTAATAAGTAGACTTATACATAATTTAATTAATCGAATTTTTTTTCATATACTTGTATTTTATTGAAATTATTTTAGTTCATAGTTAATGTTTCCCTTATTCATGTTTAATTAAATGGAATTCATACGAAGTAGCGAAATGTCCTAATAACTTGTAATTTATATTTGTAGTATTTTCGAAATGAATTGCATATACCTAAATCATCAGTAATTAAGAAATATGCTGTAAATTCAGAAAAATTGTTAAAAAAACATAGATCTGCACGCACCCCATATTCAATATGCAAATTAATTGGTGTCAGCTGGTTCAACTGGAAATATGCCAACAGTCAGTCATCAACAGGTGCAACTGGAAATATGCACATCTTATTGGCGAGAAGTTTAAGTCTTTCCAAGATTTATATCTAGAAGCTGGTTTCGATAAAATTTTTAGTCGAATTCCCAATTTATTAAGTCTTAAAGACTTGAAATATTTTAAGTCTCAAAATGGATTTAAAATTTAAGTCCTAGAAATTAAGAGAGTACATATAACTATAATAAAAACTGAATATTCATTATAAATCATGGTTAAAGTGCATCTGTGTTCGTGACAAATCCAGGGAATTTAGCTCCCACCCCAATGTAAAAATATATAAAGATAACCCATTTGTGCAACATAGACCTGAGAATGATGGTTACATAACAATTTGTGAATTATCGCTATTAGTAATGAGTCATAATTAACACAATTTAACCAATCACAATTGTTTGCAGGTCTACCTTTATAACAATAATCCATGATAAGCTGAACTTCTGTGTAACTCTCCTTAGGTTGTAATTATTTTAATTAACATTTTAATCTACATTATTCCCCTTACTTATATTGATAATCATTTTATTGATCTTTTGGGTGGGGGATCTGATCTAATTGATCCAATATTTGCCCATACCATTACCAAATGGTTCATATTTCATTCAAGTTAATTATTCAGTATACTTGTAATACCCCATAGCGGCATAGCCCCCCCCCCCATTCGTTGATGTATTACCTAGCCACCTGATATGTTTGAGTGAACTGATCCTTTAAATATACTATTAACCCCCTATCAAAACAATAATGATAATCATAATAATAACAAATAAATAGAAAAATTACCGGTATTAAACAAAACTGGGGGGAAAAAAAGTGGAAAAAGTAAATACAAAATACAAACTAATAAATAAATAAAAACATACACACACAAAAAAAAATAAAAAATACTGATGTATTAACTAGAAGCCTGAGCTGTATGTGTGTGTAATGGAGGTAATTGTCCTTGCGGGGGGGGGGGGGTGTTTTCCAGAGGTGATTGTTCAGGGGGTAATTGTCCTGGTCTGATAAAAAATCTCCTGGGCCCCCAGCCATCGACTTGGCAGCTTAGTTTTTGGCGCCTCCGGCCCCGATCGCGTCTTATTTTTTTCATACCATAAAAGACGCCCCCGGTCCCGTACGTACGGATGAATATAAGTTCGTACCGACACCTGTACTTGTGTTACAGTTTTATAGATGGAGTAGGTAGAAAAAAAAAACAGTCACTAGACTAGGTTGATATCGTGCCATTTGTTTAGCTTTTCAGCGTCTTTAGAACTTAAAGATGAAGTTGAGTTCTGCATGGTCATGCGATTGCATTGTGAAAGCATCGGTGTGGAATCGACCAGAAAAGGTTGATCATCTAGCATATAAGAATTTTTGTGTATTGCAAGGTTCTGGAATCATCAAAATAATCAGAAATTTGGCCAAGTCTTGGTAAGTTAATACAAACACTGTACACAGAAAGATGTATATGGGACTACACTAACACGTGGCGTAAAAATCCTACCCCCGAGTTTTACGATGTTACATGACATATTTCGAATATGAAGGCATTTGAAGAGCCATGCTTTTCAGGGAACATGTCTTATTTGATGTTCTTCCACACTCGCATAATAAGAATGATTATGCTCACAAATTATTTTTCACCTCTTCCCAGAACTCAACCTTCTCTTTAAGAAGTGAACTGTCATCTACTTGGTAAGACACTATTCTAATTTTTATCAACAGTTTGTTTCCCAATCATGGAATTAGGACATGTTTTCTAGATCCCTAAAGTAAGATTTCCGAACGCTGCATACTGAGCGTGTAGATCCTAGTGCCTGGCAGTTGCCACGGCCGTGCAAGGAGTATAACGCAGTTATCCCTCGCTGCCTGCCCGACGGGCCAGGGAGAGCTGGGTAGGCCTACTGTGATCGTACAAAAGCAAGACCCCCTCAGGTTTTTCTCAGTTTTATTTTTTCTCTGGGGGCCAAGAATATAACCCATTTAAGGGTAGGCTAGACTAGTACATTCCTTGCTTTGTGGAAAATCATTGCTACAATTACAAAAATAAGTGTAGATAAACCCCTAGTCTAAATTAATGACAATTAAGAATTAAGACTGAGACTTGAGAGTGAAGGAGTCTCATCAATGAATGAGTTACAAAAATTGTACACAACTGAGCTAGTTACCATGACCACCATACTATTGTTGGTTTTTCAACAATTTTGTTGATAATTAATAAATTTATTAACATCATAATGAATACTCACATCTTTCTTGATGTTGCATAGAGCCTGAGCCGCACTATCTCCAATGCAGGAAAAGCCCGCAAAAAGCCCGCGAAAGGGGGGTTCGGAAATGTTGGCAGTCCTCAGATAGGGGGTGCTTTCAAAAAGATGGAACGAGCATATGCGTACCCTAAATAACACTAAGTGGGGGGGGGGCGGGACTGCGGCTAACTGTTGCCACATCTACACAATAATTTGTGGCAATTTCGTCGAAAAATCGAGCCCTAATTAGCAAAGAAGTTGAGTGCAATGCACACTTGCAATTCTTTGGTAAGGGCTTTACTCCTTGCTGTTTTTCTGTCGAGATCTTCTTCATTCAGCATGCCGCAAATCTTATTGACTTCTTCTTTATAAAATCGGAACTTCTTCTTGAATTTCTTGTCGGATAGCTGCTCAAAGGGATCTATTTTATCCTCCACAATTCTCCTAGCTCCTTCATTTGCAGCCGCCATTTTGAAGAATTGCAATCAACTGCCAAATCAGTTGCAAATTTTGCGCTACCTCCAAATTTATTGCAAAGTTGCGCTTGATCTGCGATTAAACGCCTGAGTTGCGCTTGATTTTGGGGTTTAGCGTTTAAACGCAACTTTCTTGCAACAGGATTGAACGCAACTGCATAGTTAAACGCCAGAGTTGCGCTTGATTTTGGGGGAGTTGCGTTTAAATCTTTTTTTATCTGCGACGTATAACGTGACCTTCAAAATGCCATCTTCGTACTCAAAATTCAAATCTGAAACCGACTCCGTCAAAAATCTCTCATTTGGATTTAGATACTTGAAGTAGGGAGGTGAGTGCCCTGCTTGAAGATATGCCCTTTCCAGCTAGCTAACACTGACCAAATTTGAGAAAAATGCCCTCCAAATTCGCCATTACAAGAAAATTCCGAAATAACTTCAACTTACTCTAAAATTGCGATCTCATATGAACTAATTTGACCCACATTCGGCCAAAAGATCAATGAGGCATTTTGTGTACCTCCCACACAGACGACGAACGTTCGAGTGCACTAGAGCGTAACACCAAGGTACCTGACTCGTCGATATGAAATAGGGGTTTATCGTAGAAAACTGGTGAGAGTGTGAATGTCAACACCGCTGTGCGAGCGTGACTTGTCAACTCTGTGTGTGTGTGTGTGTCTCTCTCTCTTCCCTCTTCTTCTCCCGAAAAAAAGAAAACAAATCAGGAAATTATATATGTTAGTCCAAGGAGTTACTACACTCCTTGGTTAGTCTAGTAAATGCAGATGCACATCACAATGCATAAGTCCATTGTCATCCCTCCGTCTAAGATGGGCGGGATCACCCTGCAATATGAATACGCGATTCCTTCACTAGCAGATCGACCATGAATATATGGATTTGCTCATAAAGCGAGTTCAGAGTGCCACTAATTTGCTAAATTTCAGGAAAACTAAAGAATTCAGTGTCTCGTGAGAGATATAATCTAATCCCTACACATCTTTTTTTGTAACATATCGTCAATAATATCTAAATTCCCTTCAGTAAATTGCTGAAATTAACATAAAATGTGTCTTTTCCATCGCCGCGGAGCTGAGTCAAATTTGATGGTCGAAATACGCACGGCTGCGAGCACGGTGTGTAAGCCTCATTGTCCGCTGTGTAAAAACCTCGCTTACGCACAATGCATACATTACGGAGGTCGATGCGTAAATTTCTGAAAGCTTCTTTTTATTGGATTGAAATTGGCCCTAATTTCTCGACAACCAATCAAATTATGTCTTACATCAGACGACACGGGATTATATCATACCCTATGATTTGGCGCCCGAAATGGCCCAATAACATTAAGTCGCAGTTACGAGCATTAGCTCCTTGAAGTACACAACCCCAGTGAAAAAGACGAATTTTCCTGTGACCTCCATAGAGAAATCACAAATTGAATGATCGTTGTCCATTTTTGAAGACGAAAAGGCCCTATTTTCCGGTATTCAAATCAGTTCGAAATTGGTATCAGTGGAAAGAACAGTATTTGAATATGTGATTTCCACCCGAGATGGTGTGTAATCAAAGTTTGTTTACCTCGTAGGAGCATTTCTTTGCACATTAAACGCATTTTCAAAGACGATATCACTAGTTGTAGACCGCGGAGCGAGACCGCGTGAGCAGATCGATGCCCAAAATTTGTTCATATGTTATACCTACATAACTTGACGGACACATGTATCCATATACGTGACAACTGTCTGCCAAGTTTGGTAAAATTCGAATACGTCAGCGCAATGTTATCGCCAAAAATGATGAATTTACTATGCATTACGTAATAGCGCGTTTGATGCGTGTAGTACGTTGCGCGCAGATGACAATGGTGTCAAACTGACCGCAATGAAGTGCCATTTCGAATGATACCAAGTATGGTATATGTTCAAACAGAAAATTGTGAGTAAATCGCATTTGAACAAGGGCCACTATACGAATTCAACCGAGTTTCCGCCCGATTATAACACTTATCGGCCATGACATCATTTTTTCAGCCCGCTTTTCGCCCCCTAAAAATCCTTTTCTTTCCTTGAAAATTTGCAGTGACATTCCGAGTTGCAACACGCAGGGTACCTTGAAGCCGGATTTTTAAAAATTGGTCAAGGGGGCCATTTAAGACGTCATTTTGTCCTATAAATCTATTTTAAATCACGTGTTTCGATAGGATTATCATAGAAAAAAATAAATTGGTTTACAATAACAAACATGAAATTTTCTTTCCAATAATACCAAATACCGCCCATAAAGAGACATAAAGAGAGAGAGAAAAAAAAAAACAATTTAAGTCCAGTCATAATACAGATCCTGTACGTTTTTCGCTCATGCATTACACGCATTGTCTGTGGGGCAAATCGGGTTCACGCTTTTGGCCCCCAGAACGATCTTTATTTTTCTTGTTATTGGACAGGCACATTCTAAGTGGCCAAGTGCAGAGCATCTCGAAGCAGGATTTTTTAAATCTGCCAAGAAGGCCATTTTAAATGCTATTTCATACTCTGCATAACTAGTCCGAAAGATGTTCTTTCGTTTCACACGTAGAAACATGGCGTCATTGCACGCACATCGTTCTGACACGATTGCATTTTTTTTTGTGTTGCCATGATCTGATTCCAACCAAAGAGGTATCTCTTTGTTCTAACATTTATAAAGTTAAATATGGTTATAAAAACAAAGGTAACGATGGTTAGACTAAGCTTCAAAGATGGTACATCTATGGTACACGTGGTACCCATAGTTTTCTATCGTGTTAACATGGTACTGTCGTGCAGGGGAGGCGATCAGGGGGGGGGGGGGGCTCGTTCCCCCTCCACATATTCCTCCGGTTGTCTCATTTTCGCTCGCTGGAACATTGCCAGCACAAACCACTGACCTCTACCTCCTGGACGTATCATCGCCCATTCCCATTAACTATACGTTACGTACTAGAAGGCTGTATTGTCTGACCGTTCATGAATATTCATGTTTTTGCTTACCTCGGCAAATTGCTTGCCTTTACTAAATGGAAAAATTACGGTGAGGGTTGGATGAAATGGACATAATGAACAAATCAGAACTGATCTATGATAATTCATGTTTGTTATCCTTCGTGAACTTGACTTATAATTTTTCAATCGCGTGATAAATTGAGTCCAAAGTTCGACTTGTTGTACATGTGTTATATAGGCAATGGCGAGCTTGCGACCTATTTTGATGAAATTACGGTGGGTGAACTTTAAAAAGTCAATGAGACATGAGGGTTCCAATGAAAGAGCTAGTGATAACGTACGTCGGGGTGGATGTGCTTTTCGTTTAAACAAAAAATGAATTTTTAACGATTTTTTTTGGGTAAAAGTCCATAGGCTAACATGTTAGGCTGCTGACTCTGACGATAGGGGGCGTTGTCAAATGAGACTAAACGGAGCTATATGTTTTTTAGGGGGGATCTTGCCCCCTCCCCCCGGAAAATTTGAAAAAGTGCCAAAACAAATGTATAGCAAATAGCAAAAAGTGACTAAAGACTGCAACACACTTTTTATGCTCGAGGGCCCAAGAGTGCAGCGTTTAGACTAATAAAAGTGTAAAAATAATCTTGCTCGGTCGCTACGTACGCTCCCTCGCATAATATCCTTCATAATGTACGAGTAAAAAGGGGAAATATAAAATTACAACCTTTTGGACTGCACACTAATTAACGGCAAAGTAAAAGTGAAGTGTGTGCAAAAAAGTAAATTGCTTTTTTTAATACTAAAGTTTTGCTAAGAAATGTAATTTTTAATACAATAAATCTTTAAAAACCTGTGAGGGGGTAGTCACTTCCACCACCTTCGCCCCTCTCGTTCACTATGCTCCCTCGTCCCCCGCATTTCGACCCCCCCCCCCCGTTATGAAAAGAATTCGCCGCCCCTGCTTTCGCGGTTACCATCAGTACCGCGAAAGCAGGGCGGCGAATTCTTTTCATGACCAGGGGGGGGGGGGGGGGGTCGAAATGCGAGGGACGAGGGAGCATAGTGTACATAACATTAGGTACTTAATTTGTGATATGTGTGGAAAATCACAGGTACTATGATGGTAGTACCGCATTACCGATACACCTGTATGGTACGACCGTGGTAATTATCTTTGTATTTCCGTGGTATTACTGGTACTTCCATTGTATTATATATACACAAAAATGCTTGACTTCAAATATGTTCCTCAGTTATCGTGAACGCAAAACGTGTGATGTCATTTTTCGTGTGTGTTTTCGCAGGGAGTCCTTTAGAACAGATCAATCTGGAAAAATATTATTTAATTTCATTACATGTACTTTTACGTTTACATTTTTTTACGTTTCAATTTATTATTTTATTTATCATTCTCTAATTGTATTCACGGCAAAACGGATAAATTAAAATGTGAAAGTTTCAAGAAAATCCAATAAAGCATAATAAATTTATGCAAGATCTATATCCTTCTTTTAAATGTACGAACATTCTGAATTCTTAATGTTATTGGTTGATAATAATTGTTGTAATGAGGTTTTGAAACTCATGTGTCCTATATGTAAATAAATAAGACACATATATGATCAAATAAATTCAAGAAACAAGAAATGTATGAATTTTTTACAACAGATCAAATGAAATCATTAATTTGAACCTTTGAAATTCCTTTATTGGACTCTATTCTTCACATTTCAACATATTTGTTTCTCTTGATTTTGTTTCTTTATTGAACTAACTTCCTAAAACATGTACACACAGCAATATTTCCACATCAACATTGCTGTGAAATACACATTACTTGTGAGACGAAAAACAAGGAAATTCATGTGTGATGTTCCATTTATAACTTGTACAATTTATTATATGTTGTTCTTTCTTCCATTGAAGTGACATGATCATTTTGATATGTTGAAGATTTGCATTGCATACGATTACATCAGTGGTCCACTAACACGTTACATACTAAACATTACTACAAGAATGATGGTTAAC